GATTCTGAGGCACAGCAGATCTGCTTTGGTTGGGATTTTATCCTTCCTTGGAATTTGGCCACTCTGATGATTTCATTTTGGACCTGGTCCTCAGTTAGTCTTTTCTTTCACTGTACTGCATACTCCAAAGAGGGCCCCAGCTTTCACATTTGGCATTAAGCCATTTCAGTCACTCTCAGTTTTTCCTTATTTCTAGTCCACCTACCTTGGCAGGTGGTATTCCAGCATCACAATTCTATCTAACTGGCTGGCATCAGCTGTTAAAGGTTAGGAATCCCGACATGCAGAATACGAGAGAGTTTAGCGTTCAGAGGATTTATTAGGGAGTGTCCTTGTACACAGCTGTGAAAGTGAGGGGTGGAATCAGGATTGAAGAGAGGGAGCAGGTGCAACCTAGGCATTATCCCACCCAATTGGGAAGCCCTGGAGTCGAAGTGATTTGCAGGAGTTCTCCTGTTTTTGACCCCAAGTGGCATAGCCTTTAGACCTAACCATTGCCTGTTATTAAAGTGGGCTGTCCACCAAAGAACTGTGGCCTTGGGCAAGGAGGCTGCCTGTTACTCTGAAGCTGCTGAGAGATGAAAGCTTTTTGTCACCACACTTCTCACAGAGCAATAAGACCATTCATGAGAGGGATATGGGTGAAGGATTTCTGTGTGCCCCACGGGAGCTCTAGATAGCGATGGTCTATTATTAATATAAATAATATTAATACAAAGTAATATTAATATTAATATAAAGTTCTTGCTTAAATTCAACTTTCTGTAATACACATAAGGAGTAAAATCATTCTCTACACCAATAATTACCACAAACATCAAACATTAAGAGTAACAGAGCGGTAACCATTGTAGTTAAAACATTCTCTCACAAGATGGTCATTTTAATGAATTACTCAAATTTCACGACAGCCTAAAGATTGAGGTCAGACTGATGGTAACTGAAATGTATTTTCCATATTATTATTATTATTATTATTTTTTTTTTTTTTGAAGATAATAGTGGGCTACCAGGAAGTTACCTAGAAATCCTTAGCAATTGCTGGATTGGGCTGTTTCACTCATGGTTGAGTGGGGTTGCCTGGTTGGGGCATTAGTTATCACTCTGGGCATCCAGAGAACTTAGCAGCGCAGATGGGTCTCTTTTAAACAATTTAGCAGACCTAGCAGTTATAAAGTAGAACCCCAATAAGCCTGTTGTAAGGTCCTTGGAACACCTTGATGTTGAAATTGTTAAAGTTCAGTTGAGAAGTCAAAAGTCAAATTGGCAGGTATGAAGCCGTGTAGCCAGGAGAGTGGTGGTGCTGAGCTCTTGGAAGGGATGGAACAGCCATTAATAATCAAAACAATATTCTGAGAACAAAAATAGATATACCGGAACGAGATAGCTGAACGTCAGCCCTCTAAGAACCTATCACTATGTTTATACGCAGTCATATCCTTCTTGATGTCACTTATATTCCTAGCCATCCCGTGTCATTTCATAAGCCACGAATTCAGGCCTATTCTTTGGTTACTTACTGTACCTGCTTGGACAATCTACATTTGTCTGCGTGTTTTTGCTATAGTGTCTCTGCCAAAGCAGGTGTGTTTCTGGTTCATTCAATTATTTTTTCCCACGGAGTCTCCCTGAGGACCCACTAAGTCCTGTGCTTTTCTGAGACATATATGAGAACTCCTGTCCCTTCCAAGTGAACCTCCTTAGAAGCCTGAATTTGAAACCTCCCCCGGGTTCCCTGAGTCTTGAGCCCACCAGCATGGCCAGGCTGAGGGTGGGTAGAAATGTTTTAACTTTAAAACATATATGAATGATATATAATTAAAAAATTTTAATGGATTTTTTAATTCGTGTTTGCCGTACAAAATACATTCTTTGTGAGGAGATGGTATATGTACATAATACATTTTAAATCCTTTTTTAATTCCTCCTCCCATCTCTTGATCCCCTTCCCATTTGCAAAAAACCCATCTCCCTACTTCCTATTTTTTACCTTTTATTTTGCTCTTTATTTATGATTTGGGTTTTTTTTTATATAAGAGAAACCATGCAATATTTATGCTGGTATGTCTCATTTATTTTACTTAATATTATAGTCTGGTATATAATTTTTTTGTTGGTTTTTAAAAAAATTTTCTGAGACAGGGTCTCACTGTGTAGTTGAGACTGACCTGGAACTCACTATGTGGCCTAGGCTGGTCTCGAACTCAAAGCAATCCTCTTGCCTCAGCCTCCTGAGTGCTGGGATTACAGGCATGCACCACCACACCCGGCTTGATATATAATTTTTTTTTTTTGGTACTGGGGATCAAACTCCAGTCCTTGCACTTGCGAGGCAGGTGGCAGAACCACTGAGCTAAATCCCTGGCCTTGATATATAATTTAAAAAAAAATGAATGGAAGAGAAATTTCTAGTTAACAGCCATGCCACTGCACTTACCAATGCAGATCCTTATTGCAGTCATGGAGATGGAAGGTACAGCTTTTCTTTGTTTACAGTGTGTCTCAGTCCTGTTGTCTTTATACCGGCACCAGAGTTTGTTTCTATCTCTCTGTCTCTTTCTGGACCCCAGGCTTTAATATATGGACAGTTTTATACTTCTGCCCCGAATTTCCAGGGTCCTGATGTTGGGGAAGTTGTACCACAAGAGAACTTATCAGGCAGTCTGGAAATTCCTGAATGCAAGGTTCCTGGAGAAAGAAATGGTTAGAGAAATCATCGTGCCCTTGTGAAGTTTTCCTGTTGCCTCTGTAGGATGGATAATGTTTCTGAATAATCAACTGAAATACCTGAACCCCGCTTCCTCCTTTGTTGAACCTCATGAATTTTGTTCTTCTTCTTTCCTAATCCGGCAGATGGACATGTGTTAATTTGTGTTCCCAGCAAGAGACCCAGACACAGAGACTTGGGGACAGGCACTGTATTTGGGAAGTGAACTTGGGGTGCTCAAATGAAGAACCAGGGAAGAAAATGAGAAAAGCCAAGGAGGCAGGAAGCTAGGATTCAGATTCACATGGCACCTTCTCAGAAAAGCCGTGGACTCACCTAACAGCTGATTCTCCGGAAGTCAAGGAGGCTGAGGGCTGCATTGTTGGAGGGTGGCCCTGGGGGCATTAATTCCCCACACTTTCAAAGTGATCCTAACAATGCTCCAGCAACTGCCCAAGAGCTGGAGAAAGTTGAGAAGCAATGAGAACAAATGGGTTCAAGGAACAACATTTTCCAGTAGGGAACTGTCTGCTGTACCTTCTGGTGACTCAGGTGGGCTGAGGTGAAAATGAGGGGCTTCTATGTGGGCAATGTGATATGAGAATAAGGGTGCAAAACTAACCAAATATTGGCATGTATCATCTGAGCCCTGGGTTTTGATATCAGACAAAATGATTGGAAAGGGCTTCTGATTCTTACTTTTTTCTAACTTCAGATTTTTCAGTGACACTACAGGTTGGAGGAAGAAAATGAAAGTGGAGGGAGCACACTGACAGTAATATTGAGATAACCCTTTGGTGTCCAAAATTCCCCCACGGAAATTCCATGGGGGTTGAGTAGGGGCCAAATGTTTTCCTCCTAAAACAGCCATCCCCTCCTCATCTGTGGATAGGGCGGCCAGCACATCCTCCTGGTGAGCCTCTACATGAGACACTGTGGTGCCTGACCCACCTCATGCATCTGCATGGCACACCTCCTTCTGGAAGGCCAGATATTTTTATTTAACTTTTTTGCAGGGCTGGGAATTGAATTCAGGGCTGTGTTGTGTGGAAACTTGGAAACTGCTCTACCACTGAACTCCACCCTAGCTGATGGAAACACTGGAACTCTTAAATCTATAGAAAGGGAGAGTGGTGGAATACACCTGCTGGTTTTATGTGCGAGGTGATGAGATTGCTTCTGCCCCAAAAGCTCCTTATTCTTTCTGTACTACCCATATAACTCTTACAAAGTCAGGAGTCACCCATTTTAGAATCAGCCTCCATCTAGACCCTTGAGAGATAAAGCAATGGGACCTGGACAGAAACTGAGCCCTTTGGACAAGGTGGATGTGTGTTCTCTTTGTATGAGTACGGTTTGCTTATGTTCACCAGGGCCTCACAAACGGGAAGCTTGGTGCCCAGTGTGGTGACGTGAGAAGTGGTAGAAACATTAAGAGGTGAGACAAAAGGGAGACCAGCTAATTGCGGGCGGTGCCCCGGGCAGAAGTGAACGCTGGCGTCTCAGACTGAGTTAGCTCTCCCCAGAGCGAGCGTGAGCTGCCCTAAAGCAAGTCCTGGGTAGGGCCCTGCGTGCGTGTCCAGCAGACTCTGACTGGGCAGCTCATGGTGACCGCAGAAGAGTGGAAGAGTAGGAAGAGTCAGAGCAGTAAGTGGAGAGTGGCTGTGCGGGTAGTGGTGGGGCCAGGACCAGAGGAGACTGGGGGAGCGGCAGGGTCTGAGAAAGCACCCAGACAATGACCACGGTGCGGGCCGTGGGAGGGGTTCTGGAGCTGCAAGACCCTGCGTTCCCACAGTCTGTGTAAGAGCCAGTTCGGAGGCAGTTGAGGCTACACTTGGGTGGCTGCAGTAGGAGAAACCGAGCCCAGGAATTCATCCCTAATCCTGGCCGGGTTCAGCACTTGTGTTGACGCTCTGTTCTTAGTCCCGCTAGGCACTGCAGCAGGAGCCCTTTGGCCCCACTATTCCACTGTGGCCTCACCACAGTACACTAAACACTAAGAGGAGGATTCCCACTCTAGAGGGTTGCTGGGGGGATGAAAGTTGACTGATCAGGTGTGTGACCCGAGGATCCTGCTCCACAGAGGCGATCAGGCTCTGGCTGCAGTGACTGTCACCTGCCCCACGCCACCCCCAGAATTTGGGGGAGGAACTTCTGAGCACAAGCAGAGCCAGCTGCCGTCGGATGACACACCAACGGTCCCCGCTGTGCCTCTGCCCACTCCCACCCAATTGCCCACCCTCCAGGCAGTGAGTAAGACTCTCCTGTGAATTGCAAGGCTTTTATTGCTGGAATCCTCTGTTCAGACACCGGGACGTGGTGGGCTGTTGAGACTACATGGTGGGCAGGCACCCGGCTTCCGTGGGTCTCTTGGTAAGGCTGGGTGATTTAACAGTACGGGCTTGAGTATATTTTCTCCTGCAAAGAGAATATCAGGGACCTTGGTGAGGCCTCAAGGGTCAAAGAGATATGAGGACACCTGAGCGGCCCCTGGACACTTGCTGGGCAGGGCCTGCAGCCAAGTCTGAAGCGTAGCTCCTGGACCTCTGCAGTCAGAGACAGATCCCTCTCTGTCTCCTGCACCAGCAGCGTGTCCCGAGGGCTGCCTGAGAAGCTCTGCAGAGCTCCCAGCAGTCAGGCAAGAGGAGGAGGAGAGTTAATTCTGTGGGATGGGGGTTGTGGCAAAGGCGCTGCTGAGGAGGAACTGGCAGAGCTGCAGGCGAGCCTGTGGGCAGCTGGGCTGGGGAATGAGCTGATCCCAGACAGCGTCCTCCTCCTGCTCCTCCTACCTGGAGATGCAGCAGGGGCCTGTCCCGTCAGCTCTTGGGAGAGGAGCCAGAAGGAAGGAGCAGGGGTGTGGTGTCTGTCTCCTTTCCTGGCACACCATCCACACAGTGAGCCTTTGGGGTCCAGGAAACATGGAAAGTTGAGAGTTTTAGAGGGGAGTAATAGGAACTGAATGATTCGGAGAAGGGCGCGATTCAGTGAGCATGATTTCAAGAGGATCCAGACTCGTGCTGGAGAGGCTGGGGTCAGGGATGTTGGAGCCGCGTGACTGAGGTGGAGCCAGGAGGTGCCGTGGAGACGGAGCCTCCTAGAAATTCTCATGCTGGTGTGGCAGAGCTCAGCACGCAGGGCCCACCCCAAGAGCTCAAGGCCCGCCTTGTTTCTCTGGTTCTTCCCTCTGCAGTCGGTGCCTGCTCCATCCCCTCTATGTGTTTCTTCCTGAGGTCCTTTTCCTTGTAGATTTACAGGGAAGGGCCATGTGGGAAGGAGAATCATTCCCCCCATTCTGATCCCTCACCCGCAGGAGGAGCAGATCCCCACAGACAGGTGCAGATACACAGACATACACTGGCAGACTCACCAATGCACTGGATGCATTCGCCTTATCCTCTTCTGTCAAATTGGCATCAACACATTCCTTAACAGATGCAGCAATGGCCAGTATTTCAGGGTTACTTATGTATTTCTTCATGTAATTAATGTATTCATCAGTGGTTCCATGCAGGAACAGATCCACATCCTCTTTCACAGGTGAGCACATTTCACCATCTGGAACACAAGGACAAGCTGAGCCTCCCTGCAGAGATTCTCACCGGGACACATTCATCTCACTCCCACCCAGGACCCTCAGAACCGCCCTGGGCAGGTGTCACCACCCCCCGGAGAACCCACAGCCCAGCAGCCATGTGCCCCGCACCCACTTCCGCCTGAGATCAAGAGCAAGGCTGCCCCAAGCAGCACGAGAGTGGTAGCTGGCTTCATGATGCAGGTGGCAGGCGCTCCATCCCCAACTCAGTGTCCTTTTATACCTGCTCTTGGGTCACAGTGTGGCAGGGAGTGCCTGTGTGCGACAGGACCTTAGAGAGTACGGGAACCGCCTGGGGCTGTGGCAGGGGAGCCATGTGTGGGCACGAAGGTAAGCTCCAGAGTCAACAAAGGCTCTGGCTCTACCTTTTCTCCTTCTTAGGTCTCTGCCCAAGGTCAGGGGCCCTGAGCAGCTGAAGAGATAGAAGCACAGGCAAACCTGAGTGGGAAAGGAGTCAGCCTAGAGCATCAGACCCCAGAGAGATGGTTGATGGTGGTTTGTCACACCTGGTGGTCTGTAAAGACCTTGTGGATTTTTGTGGGGGTTGGTGGTTCTGGGTATTACACCAAGGCTTTGCACTGAGCTGCGTGTGGAGCCCTTTTTAAGTATTTATCTTAAGAAAGCTTCTGTCTACATTGCTAAGTTGCCCAGGCTGAATTTAAACTTCTAATACTGCTGCCTCAACTCCCCTAGTGCTGGGATAATGGACGTGCACCGCAATGCATGGCTGACTTTATGGAGCTTTTGAGAAGACTGAGGATTGTTAGCAAGTGTCAAGGCAGGCTAGAGAGAAGGATCCCCCGTGACCTCCTAGCTCCTGCCCTTCCCTGCCTCCATCATGTCTGCCCTGTGGCCTCCCTGGAGCTGATCTCCCGTTCTGTCCAGGATGCCTGAGTTTTCACCTCCACCACTGGCCCTGATGTCCACCACTGGTCGGGCATCAAAGGAGACGATTTGTCTTTAAAATGTGGTCTTCGACTATGTCCTGCCACCAAATGTGTTTAAAGCCCCTGAAAATTGAAGGAATTCGTCATTTTCTCCCATCGTGCTTTCTCCTTTTGCCTCTCTCTGTTCTGTTCACAGAACCATCTCCCCATAGCTATTTCCTGAGTCAAATCTAAGTCCTTTCTGTGGCCCAAGACATGTCTGGAATCTACAGCCCCAGTCCCTGACTCCTGCTGCCTCCGTGCCATCCCTGCTACCCTGTCACTCTCCATTCTGTTTCATTCTGTTCTGTTCTTGTAGTGGTGGGTTGGAACCTCTGGCTTCGCCACGCTAGGCAAATGGTCTACAGTTGAGCAGCACCCCCAGCCCCTCTCTGTTTTGTGACCAGGCCACGCTCATCTCTTCAGCTGGGCCGTCACAGGAGCCGCCCTCACTGCCTGAAACACCTCCTCCTGTTAGCACATGAATCACTGCCTAACTCCCCAGGTCTCTTCCAAAATCTCCTCCCCAGAGAGACAGCCTAGTATGGGTTGCAGTCACACTGAGGCTTGGTCTGCGGTGTTGGGAGGTGGGGTCTGGTAAGGGGGATCTTGGGATTGGGGTCCTCAGAAGCCAATCAGCGCTTTTTCCCCTCAGTGAAGTTTCACGCTTGAGACGCTGGATTGGTCACCACGATGGCGGGTTTCAACAAGCTGACTTTGGTGTCCTGGGCTCTGTCACTCATGCCCAGTTGCCCTTGGCTTTCTAACATGAGCTGAACCAGCTGAAGTCTCTGCCTTCCATGTGAGACAGTGCTGCAGTGGCCAGTGATGTGGACAGCAAAAGAATTCACTAAGACAAAACTATAAATAAAGAGCCAGGTGTGGTGGTGCACTCCTGTAAGCCCAGCACTTGGGAGGCTGCGGCAAAAGCATCACCATGAGATGGAGGTCACTCTGGACCAGAAAGTGAAACCTTGTCCCCAAAACAGACAGAGAAGACACAAATACGAATAAGGACAAGAGCTTTTTAGATCAGGATACACTGTCCTGAGTGGGCCAGCCAAGGGGAGAGCCACACCTGAGAGCAGGGCAGGGCTGTTGTCCAAGGGCAGAGTATGCCTGGAAGGAGGGAGTGGCTTGGAACTGTGGTACCTAGGGAGCCTAGCACCGCGCACTCTCTCCTGTGGGAACTTCAGTGCACACATCCCTGTGATAAGCTGGGGGCCGGTGGTTGGCGCAGTGTAAGGGTCACACGTGTTACAGGAAGGCATGCCAGTGGCTGTTCTGCTTTGTCTTTGTAAGAGTTCATCTTGAAGCAGAGTAGATGACCCTGCTGGGCAAAGCAGAGGCTGACATGGCCTCTGCCCGGTTACTTAGCACTGTGCCACTCTAGCAAGAGTCAGTTCTGGAACAGTTGAGCAGAGGCCTCAGCTGCTTCAGGCTGGAGTGGGTGGAAGTCAGAATTAAGCAGTATTTTGCTACAGGCAGTTGGCTGTCCTTTGCTCTAAGTCAACAGTGACGGAGTTAGTGACGTGTGAGAGCAGATGACAGGACCCAACACAAACCTTCTTCTGGTGATTAGAACCCTGTGCCAAATAGGATTCTCCTACGGTAACTGCTCAGAGGTGCCAAGTTCTGAGCTCCGGTTGTCAGATCACCATGCACTCTGGTTAGTGTTCGTGTCTCAGTCTTCTTTGTGTTTACGACCTTGGAGTCTGAGGGACACTGATGAAATATAGGGTGTGCCCAGATGAGTGTTTTCGTGTTTCTCTGTGTCCTGTTGAGCCCGAGGCTTCTTGTGCTCCAGGTGAGTATTTTACCACTGAGGGAAACCCTCAGCCCTCAGCCTGAGTTTTCTGGTGTTCTTCCACATCATTTACACTAGGTTATAAAGACACACAGAGGTCAAATGTCCTCGTCACAGGTATCAGGCCCCCACATGTCTGAGCCTGGTTATCACTCATCATTTGGTCCCTTGATTAACGTTGTGCTTTCCGGCTGCTCTGCTCTTTTCCCTCTCCCTGTCTTCCTTTTTTGAGGTGTGGGGGGTCAAACTCGGGACCTTGCACTTCCAAGGCAGGTGTGGTGCCACGGAGCTCAATGGTGTGTCTTTTGTTTTACTTTTGAAATTACTTTTACTTTGCGTTTCTCATATAAGAGAAACCATGGGATGCTTAGCCTGTTGTATCTGACTTCTTTCACTCAGTATCACATTGTCAAAGTGTATTCATTTTTCCAGAAATGGTTCAAATGTATCCTTCTTTATGCCTGAATAAAACTCCTTCGTGTAGGGCTGGGGATTTAGCTTTGTGATTCTGCTGCCTGCCTCCCAAGAGAGCAAGGTCCCGACTTTGATGCCCAGTACCAAAACCAAAACCGAACAAAACAAAACACAAAACTCCTTTGTGTATATGTCTCATATTTTAAAACCATTATTCATGTGCTGTTGGCAATATAGGCCACATCTATTTTTATCTATTTTTGTGTTATATACAATATGTATGTATGATTTCCAATCAATCCTAGGTAGGCTTGGACCTACACACTTTTCTCCAGGTCTTAAACACAGATAGGTATATGTCAGTTTTCTGCACGATAATTTTGTTACTTGTGGTGACACAGAGCTGACCTTGATGTCTGTGGCTTTCCCCACATCGTGAGAGAGTGCAGCTAGGAGGGTAGGTTGACAGGCCATGACAAATAACCAGAGGCCACAGTGCTGGGACAGGAGCACTTTGGGCCCAGCCTGGAGACACTTAGAAAGGTCAGCTCCAATTGCTCTTTTGGCAAAGGTAGAGTCACTTAATGCTCAAAGAACCAGGGTAAACATCTCTAAGACGTTTGCTCCCTGGAGCAGGAGGTGCTCCAGGTGCTTCCTACCCCTCAGGCTGGAGTAACCGCGTGTCCTCATCCATGAGCATTTGGAGCTCATGGGATGGACCAGGGCTGGGCTCCAAGAGCCAGTGGATTATAAAGCAGCAGAAACCTCACTTGAGCAGAGCGTTTCAGGAATCTACACCATGAAGGGGGCAGTACTTGTGCTGGCCTTGCTAGTGACCGTGGAGCTGCACGTCCAGCCAGGTGAGAGTGGCAGAGGGAGCAGGTGACTTTCCTGAGCCTCACTCCCACTTTATCTCACATGAATCTCCCCGGTGATCTCCAAGCAGGCTTTAGATTTAGGTGGCATCTGGGAGATCGTGGCCCAGGAGTCCTACAGAAAAGCTCTGGAGCCTTCAGCCTTTGAATGAATGGAAAGATTTGGTGGAGGAGGGGTAACTAGTTGTGCAGAGAGTAGGGAGTGAGTTGGGGTCATGGTGCTCATGTGAAGGCAAGAAACGTGGGAGCTGCTGTGCCTGGGGCTGTGGCTGTGGCCCTTGTGGTGGCCCTTGAACCGCTCCTTTGTGGCAGTAAGTCATGGAGAATGTGGTCTCTGTCTCGGGTGGCAGCAGTCATGAGCGTGGGGAGTGCTCTGTGGGACATCGATCAGCAGGCAGTAGACACAGTGGTGGGGAAACATGGACCTCAGCCCCTCTCTTCCCGGAGACTTAATGGGATGCTTTCTTGCCTGTGTTTTCAGCGGAAGCTTGTGTCATATTTTATGAAATCTTCAGTAAACTGGCCCTTGGATTTGAGAAACCATTGTATTACGCCCTTGACAAGGTAGACGCTACTGAACCAGAAAAGGCAGCCTTTGAAAAAATCCAGGATTGCTACAGTGAAGGAGGAATCAAAGCCAAGACATTGGATTTATGGCCTTGGTAACTCCCTGTCTAATCCCTTTGCTGCCTTTCATATGCTGCATATAGTAGTACTTCATGTATAAAAAGTCCACAAAATCATATAAAGTATGACAGCTGAGATTTGCAAACACATAAACCTTTGCTCCCCTCTACAACATGTCGCGTGCATACCCAGCCTGTCGTGCTGCCACACCTGTTCCTGTGACAACAAATAGCACTCAAGTAGAAGAGGTAAAGGACACACAGCTAAACCGGAGAATACGACGAGTGAAACACACACGGTGTTTCCGGTCCTGTGATTATTTTTTCCTCCCTGCGTTAGAGGACGTGGCAGAGCATGAGCAGAATGTTAACCTTTTTCAGAAAGGAGTCTTCAGTCCCGCTCCTGCACAGGCAGGCGCCCGTGAGCTGTGTTTTCGAGCCTGGAGCCTTCTGCCTCACGTGCAGCTTCCCTTCTGCCGGTGTCCACTTTGATGGCTGCTCCAGCAGCTGAGATAGAACCCTACTTGGCCCTGCATTGTCTCCGTGCTCCCAGCCAAACATTTCACTCTCTGGATTTTATCCCTGAGGTGTCCAAGGAAGCCCCTGGCTCTATTTAGCTGCTTACCAGATCTGCCCTGTGCATGTCTTCAGTTTAAAAACACGGGCTTGCTTTTGTGTTGTACAGATTTTCAATAGTCTCTGTCCTGATCCAGTTCCCAAAGTGCTATTATTGTCAATTTGGGAAGATGTCCAACTTCCAACCCAGGAGCAGGATTTCTTGTACTCGGATAAGCACACAGGACACATGC